TTAAAAGGTATTTTTGTATTTAAATTGTCTCATGGCATTAAAAATATGATGAAAATGAAATTTATATGTTATTAACCACTTCTTTATGTACAACATTATTAGTTTGATTCTTTGGCGCGTAAATTACTACATAGATGTTCGAATTTTATCTAAAATTGGATATTATTAATTAACAAATTTTAAAATAATTAAAGGATCTCTTTTATTAAACAAAATTATAGTAGAAAAGTAGAAATTTTTAGGAATTTTAACCCATTATTTATTTTAAATCTAATTATAAATTTCAATTAAGAAAAATTGAAAAGAATCATTAGTTATTCCTGAAAATGAAACCGATTTTCCTACCAATAAACCGATTTTTTTATCAAACAAATTAATCCAAATAAAAAAATCATCAATTTTTTCTAAAAATGCAACCGAATTTTTCTAACATTGCACCGATTTTTTTACCAAACAAATTGAATTGAAAATAATTCTAATAAAAAATTAAAATAATTTGTTAATATTTATGCAACTGTCTCTTTGTTAAAGAAAGTGATATGAACTTAACCGTATAAAAAAATGATATTAACTTACCAAAATATCGGTAAAACATGGTTAAGAAAAAAATAAGAATCCAAAAAAAAAAACGATGCATTTAAATTTTGAAAAGATGTACACAATTTTTTCTAAATAATTGGATTAGGTGACTTTAAATATAAAAAATGAACCGCTTTTGTTACCAAAAAATCTGGACACAATTTTGAATGTACATCCCTTCCAAATATCATTTTTATTTTAAAATAAAAATTGCACGTGGTTTTGTCCAATTTACAAACTTTTTTTAAAAGAAGAAATTATACAATAAGATTTGAAGAACTGGATAAGAATTATACAACTATTTTTGTTTCCTAAATTTGTATCCAATTTGTACGGTTTTTAAATTAATTTGTATTTAGAATTATTTTCATAAACAATTGACACATTTTTTCACATAAAAATCTCCAAATTTGTTACCAGAAAAGATATGATTTATATTTTGGTAAAAAAAATAAAAAATATTATACAAAAAAAATGAGATTCAAATTTTGCAATAAGAATCTCCAAATTTGTTACAAAAAAAATAGTATTCAGATTTTGTTACTAAAGATTCACATATGTTTTTTCGAACTTTCTATTAGTAGTAAGTCAAACATTATATTTATTGGGTCAAACTTTCTATTAATGTATTTTTCCAACAACCTCTGTATATATATATATAGATATAGATATAGATTATAATTATATATTATTATGCTGCCTAATCTTTTTGTTCTTTCCCCAAAATGTACTCCTAAAGTTATCTGTAGTAGGGGTGTTCACGGTCCGATTTTAACCGAAAAAAACCATCAATCCGAACCGTGGATCGGTTAAATGGTCAGTTAAAAAACCTTAAAAAATCTGGTGGTTAATTTTTTTGAAAATCTGGAATAACCGGTCCGGTTAATGGATTACCTGCGGCAAACCGTCGGTTTAACCAGACCGGACCGGTAAATATTAAAAAACTATAACAAATATATATACACATTTAGTAATTTACTATGACCGACAAATACAATACATTCACTATGAATGATTTGCTCTTATTATTTCAGGTGTATAAACTGACTGAAAAATGAATGCTTGCTTGGGTTCAGTTTGCATAATTTAATCTTCATCAGTTTTGTATTTTTATGTTTATGGAACGAAATGTGTATTTTTATGCTTATAGGACAAATTGTGTATTTTTTATTTCATTATTGTTGTTTTTCTTAATTTTTAGGCCCAAATAATCTCTTTTGGGCCCAAAATTGAAAAATAAAAATTAAGCCCAAAATGAAAAAAATAAAAATTGAAGGCCCAAAACAAGGATTTTGGATTTAACCGGTTAACCGCCAAACTGGACCGTCCAATGCGGTCCTGATTGTGGTCGGTTAAAAAATAAAACCGGTCCGGTTATGGACAAGAAAAAAAATCAACCGTTAAGTCCGGTTTGGTCATGGTTTGGGCTAAAACCGAATCAATTCGGACCGTGAACACCCCTAATCTGTAGTCCTCTTTTTCAGATGGATTTGTTGAGCTAATAACAGATTTAAGTGGCAAAGTATAATTTAGAGTAACTTCATTATTTCAAATGGATTAGGAGTCGGGCTTGTTTGCAGGTCAATTGGTATTTAGTTCAAATGATTGATTATGAAGTGCATGTGACATTTAATGTATGTTACCGGGTGTACTTGGTTAGGTGTTGAAGATAATAAAACTATAGCTTTTCATTTTATTTTTCAGGTAAATTAAATTTTTAAAAACTATAAGGAATGTGAAAGATGGTTTGGTAAAAAAGTTACTTTTTATGTAAAGTTAGGAACACATTTATTCTGTGGCCTGTTTGTTTGGTGGAATAGAACTAACGTGGAGAATCTGATGCTAGAAATCTAATTCCTTTAAATAATTTTAGTACAATAACAGTGGATTATACGGGTACTATTTAAAAATTATATTAGTGTTTTAAAAAATGAAAGAGAATTTTTTATTTAAATGTCAAATTATATTTCTAAAATTTGTGTTATTATTTATTTCAAAATGGCACTCTTCATTTGTACAATTTACACATCTTATATTACAATAATTTTCCTAACTTATGTGTAATTACTTTATAGATACTTTTTATTAATTGATATGTAAATTTATTAATTTTCAAGTACCACTAGTATATAATTTAATTTTTGATAATAAGGATAAAAAATTATTTATTTATTTTTTATATATGCAATATAGATATCAAATTGATATATCATATACGAAAAATTAATAACAAAATACAAAAGCTATTAACTTTTAAAATATGTTTGTAATTTACCGAAATTGACATGTGGGAGCAAAACAACAGAAGAAACACATAAATGTGACACATAGATTCGAGAAATTACCTATTTATACACAGGGAGGGATTTATATAGAAATAGAGAAAGACTTTTAATTTTATTTTATTTTTTTATATTGGGGATGAATCAAATTCTTTTTCATTTATTTGATTATGATGTTTACACGAAAGGAATCAAGTTCGAACTAAAGTTTTACGTTTGCATAAATTGACAAAAGTAGGGTATGTATATGCATGAATCTATGAACTTAAAAGGGACGATGGTACACATTATATGTGTCAATATGTAGATTTTAATATACGATACAGTATAATCCAACATCTACAATTAATTTGATATCCTTCCTATATATAATTCTATAATGTGTTGTGCTTAAGTGGCAGGCTCGCACGCTTCGGAATCCTACAACTGTTGAGACTACAACCGTTCGGATGGGGTGTTCATGTCCATCAAGGTTGTGAACCGCTATTCTTGTTTCGCAAGTAACTGATAGAATGATCTTTGGTTCGCCCGATGACGACCAACTCTATCTAAGTGCAAAACAACAGAACATAGACTTGTTTAATCTAACATGATTCTCATTCATAAAGAGCAAATGTGTAATAACATGCAAAGCTAAACTTTCAGTATATAACACTAATAGTTCTTGCCAATAAAAACCAAAGATAAAAAATTTTCTTTGGAAATGTTGGCATAACTGGTTAGGCACAAAGTCTAATTTGTTCGGGAATGGAGTTGTTTCAGATGTTGTATGCTGCTAGTGTTGGGAGCATGAGGAGACTCTAGAGCATTTATTGTTTTACTGCCCCAGAGCCCGAACTGTTTGGAAAATTGCAGGCATTCATTGAAACAAGCTCCAATCAGATCATGGCTATTTCAAAGATTGGTGGGAGGATCTATGCAGCCTGCAGGATACCAGTACATAGACAGAGACAGAATATCCCTCTCCACTTACCTCCTTTGGTGGTCGTGGAGAACCAAAAACTCCTAGATATTCAAGCAAGAAATGATATCTGAAAGATCACTAGTAGAAGGAGCTAAGAGAGAGTGGTTAGAATTTGAAGCTGCTGGAGAGTCTTGTGGTCATGCAGTGATGAAGAATGCCCAGAGTATTGACAGAAGACAGGGAGTAGGGGTACAATCATCTGTATCCAGTGCTAGTGTCATCAGTCATCCTACCTGAAAGATTAGAGGTACTGCCTATTCCACTAATGAGAGGAGGATTAAATGGTTTGCTCACAGAAATCCCCATGCCACTTGCCAGATAGAGGATTCTTTACTTCAGCTAAGACATTGGGTCATTATGGGGGTTGAACAAAAGTAGCTCAGAGTTGAAATATACATAAAGGATGAGAGCTTAAAGAGGAAGTTGACTAACAGATCTCCTTTTGGATGGCACTTGGAGGTGATTGTTGTGGACATACATTCCCTATCTCAAGCTTCCAATGAAGTTTCTTTCTGCTCGATTTCTTAATCCCTAGATTTTCTTTTCTTTTGTTTTGATGTTTTCTTAGATTTTAACTGTGATTTTGGTTTTTTCTGTTTCTCGTTGTACTTGTCTTTGTAGCTTTTGTTTTTCTAATTTTTCTGTTAGGGCTTTTCCTGTCATATGGTTGGTTTGTGTTTGAACCTTGTTATGGTCCTGAGCTCCTTTTATGTGTCTTCCCATTGCCTTGTAGTCCCTTGGCTACTCGGTTTATACATTGATGGTTTAGTGATATAATATTGAAATAAATAAACCGATAAACTTTTTGGAAGAAATATATTACACAAAAAGATGGGGGGAGGGAAACGGCAGTTAAAGTTAGTAGACGGATCATAGAAATCCCGTGGTCCCACAACCAATCTCATACGATGTCGTAATATATAAATGGCGGTCGACGTAAATACGCGCGAAACGAAGGTCCTTTACCTACCAAACCGAAACCCCCCAACCGCACTTGCCCGACACGCGTCCTCGATCTCCTCCGTCGACCCCAAAGAGCAGATCTGGGCCGTCCTTACCGACCCCTCTCCACTTGCCTATATATAAACCTAACCCCACCCCCGCAAAACATAATAAACGATCACAAAATTTGCAGAGGATTAGAAATGTGCAGAGACTAGAGATTTTAGAGAGAGAGAGAGAGAGAGAGGAGAGAAAGAATTTGTAATCAACCCTAACAAGGAGTAAACAAAGTGGTTCCCTAATTTTGATCTGCAAATTCAAATCAATTATTAGAATTTCGGTTAGTGGACTCTCGCGAGGTCTGGATATTGATTTTTAGTTTTTTTTTATTTGGATTTTTCTTTTTTTTTTTTTGGTGGG